GTGAACGGGACCGACCTGGCCGACACCGCGTGCGTAACGCACAGTGTGAACAGGACTGACCTGGCCGACACCGTGCGTGTGAAGCACAATGTGAACTTGCATTACGCAAAACATCCAATTCAGCTTTACCAAATGAGAAGCACAGCTTAACCCTCCAAAAGGAGGCGCTCACTGTTTTCCACGCCGTGAGACCTTCCTGTGAACTTTTACTTGAATAACTGACCTTCTTACCTACACACAAGGGTTGGCGCTCTCTGTGCCGTCAAACCCCTGGCAGCCGCAGAATGAGGCACGGGCGTCCTGCCCTGCACGCTTCTTGAGGCACACGCTCAGCGGCTCCAGACAGAGCTCTGCTTCGTTGGTTCCTATCTTCTCATGGGTGCAATTAAAATTCTTCCTTCTGGGAGAAAGAAAGGAAGCAAGGTTCCCTCGAGTGTTTTTATACCCTAATGATATCTAAACTGGAGGCACTGACTTTGATTGCCTTATGGTTGAACCCACCCTTCTGCTCTGGCCCAGGGCCGTGGCTAACCCACTCCCCAGAGCCCCAGAGGAGAAAAGCAATCGCACTGCTGCACCTGTCTCTCACCTGTGTTGGAACCAAGGGTCTGTAGCGTGCCAATTACAGCAACGCTCACTGCTCCCCAGCTGCCTGCTCTGGGCCAGGCCAGGCCTCATTATCGTGATACATTGACAAGGGTCTTTTGGTTTTGTGTTTTGTGTTTTGTTTTGTTTTGTTTTGTTTTGTCTTTTTGACAGGGTCTTGCTATGCAGTTCAGGCTGCCCTTGAGCTCACTTTGTAGCCCAGGCTGGCTTCGAACTCTAACCGATCCTCCTGCCTCAGCCTCCAGAGTACTGGAATTACAGATTTGTGCCACCACGCCCAGCCTTGGTTTTTTGTTTTGTTTTGTTTTAAAGGAAACTAAGGCTCAAAGAAATAATCACTTGCCTACAGGTGGAAGTTGAACTTACACAGGATGGCATGGGTGCCAAGATAGAGCTCTCTGCCTCGGTCTTCACCTGTGCCCGTCAGCAGGTGAGCATCACCGGGCAGTGACAGCAGCCCGCGGGCAGTGCAGGCACAGCCATCACCACACTGACGCTCCTTTCCGGGCTCTGCAGGAGGGTGCTGATGGCAGCACTTCTGCTCCACCTCCTCCCGCCCACACCACACCAGGTTAGAGGCTGCTGCGCCCTGGCTCCTGGGAAGAAGCAGGTCAGACCCGAGAGCCCTGCAGGCCGGTTTTCTGTCAACCAAGCCACCCCCAACCTTGTTCTGGGTGCGCTTGTGTCCAAGGACACCTTTGCTTCCTTTTTGACCAGTCGCGGTGGAGCTCATGCTGCATGAAGCTTATCTGACACAGAGACCCCCTTGGCCACCTGGCCAGGATCGGCTCTGCACCTGGGGCCGTTGGCCAGAAAATCCCCAGCCGGAGAAGCATTCGGGACACGGTGGACTGAGCTGCGACAGCACCTTGCGGAATGGATCCGAAGGCCGGGCCACCGTCAGAGCCCTCGTCTGTTCGTGCAATGCGGCGGAGTCGGTGGAGACACGGTTGTGAGGAGGCTGAGGCGGGCACCTCGCGCTCTGTGTACTCCGCAGTTCTGTCCTGCCAGGGCCCAGGATCTCCCGAACACCGATAAAACCTTCACAGGAGCTTCCTGCAAGGGAAGACGGGTCAACCTACAGCAGAGGAGCCGGGGAAATGGAGACCGCATTTCCACACCCGGTATTAGCCGGCGTTGGCAGGACGCAGTGCCCACAGGCTGGAGGTGGTACTGCGCGTAACACCTCCTCTTTCTTTCCCCTGCCTCTCTCTCCGCCCTCCCATCCCTCTGTCTCGGTGTCCCCATTCAGGGAGGGACTCTCTAAAGAATAATGATTTTTTAAAAAATTATTTTAAAAGCAGTGCCTGCCAATGAAGCTGAGCTAACTACAGGAAACTAAAACATGTTGCATTTCTTCCCGCCTGGCTGAGCGTGTGAAGTTTGAATTTGCTCCAGGTTCTGCTCTGTGCTGCGCCTTCCAGGCCCCGCAGCATCTCCAAGGTGAGCGAGGGAGTGGGGCGGGAGGGGCGGCCTGGCTGGGAAGGAGGTGCAGGCCTGACCCTGCCCCGCGGTGCTGCTGGGGGCTCACCAGCTGGGAACAGTGAGGCGAGCACTGCTGCAACAGAGGAGCTTTGGAAGGCCCGCTCCTCCTGGGAGAATTGTTACCCAGGTCCTTGCCTCTGGCCGCAAGCACACTTCCAACTTCACCCTCAGCAGAATGGTCTGAGGGTGCCGCCCACCTGCATGCTCATGCACACGCGTGCGCGCGCGCGCGCACACACACACACACACACACACACCCAACACTCCAAGGGCTGCCCTCTCCCAAGAATTTAGAATCAAGGCCCAGGACTCTAGGTCCTGGACTTTGAAGGTTTAGTTTACATAAGACTTGTGATGTTCCTAAGCTCTACCAGAATATGATCAGGACTGGAGATATGAGGTCTTTGATCTTCAGGATATGTCTGGCAATCGTCAGGATATGTCTAGTTTATTTTGAAACAGGGTCTCAATAGATAGTGCAAGCTGTCCTTGAAGTCACTGTGTAGCCCAGGCTGCCCTGGAACTCATGATGATCCTCCTGCCTCAGCCTCCCTTGTGTTGGGATTACAGGCATGTGCCACCATGCCTGGCTATAAGCAACAGTTTAAATGATATTCTTGATGAGTCCAAACCTGGAAAGCCATGAGTCACAATTTGAAAAATAGTCCTCTGGCCTGGGAGGTTCTCTAAAGCTAAGATGGGAATCTTGCACCATATAAATGGTTACACAGGAGGTCTAGCAAGAAGGGCGGACGGCAGACTCTCAGACAGATGCTGGGCTGACCAATCACCTTTCCCAGCCCTCCTCCTCGCCTGTCTCACCACAGCTGAGATTGGAAAGCCTAAGGTTTTTGTGTCTTTTGCCCGTGGAGCTGACCTTTGGCCAATGAGAGGGGCACGGAAGTCAGCCTTGCTGGGGGCCAGTATGTTGTTGGGGGAGTGCCCGTTCGTTGCTGGAGGAGGGTAGAGAGGGACACGGCTGCCACTTTTCACCCCACTTCCTGCGTGATGCTGGGAGCCATCAACACCCTTCGTCCACGAAACCATAGGCGTGACAACCCAACAAGATGCAGCGCATGAGCGAAGGCTAGGATCACAGGCCCCGGGCCCCCTCCATGTGTGTGGCAGGCGTGCAGTAGCCAATGTTAGATCTCTGGAGATGAAGGAGAGTGCAGGTCTGCCTGGGGAAGCGCGCTGTAGCCCTGCTCCTCGTGACAGAGGCAGGAGCCTCGCAATTTAGTGAAACCCTGTTGAAAAGTGAAAGAAAGATGGAGGGAGAGGGGGCAGGTCTGGAGTTAGGGCTGTGAGGTAGAGCACTCCTGGGTTGGGGTCCTAGTACGGGAAAGAGAAAGAGGAACAGGAGGAGGGGGAGGAGGAGAAACAAGAGAAGGGAGGGACTGTATACTTTTGAAAATCTGTGTCATCAGGATGATCTATCTGTTCAGGATCATGAGTGCAAAACCGGGATCAGCACACCCTGAGGGGACTCTTGGGGTTGTGCAAGTGGCACGGGGGCCTTCCCTGCTGGGGGCCCCTGATGCCTCACAAAAAGACATCGTAAAGTAGCTGGCTCACCCTGCAGTGTTCCAAGACACATAACTGCCCTGCTGAGAAATCAGCCTTCTAGATCAGCCTATGAAGCTCCAGCAAGATAAGGGTAAGGGTGCCACTCTACTGCGGTGGTAGAATCAATGAACTCAGGGTACCAGGCTCAGAAACCTGGAACGGACAAGAAAGACAAATAAACCCCTAAGACCGACCCAGAGCGGGCTTCCCGGAAGGACCTCAGCCTGCAGACAGCTGCCTGAGCTGCCTAGACCAACACTCTGGTCTCAGGAGGCACCAAGACAGGTAGGGAACAAACCTGGAGCCTGCGGCCTTGGCCTTGGGCCTGAGACCTTTCATTCTGCAGATGGGACAGTTCCTAAAGTGCTAGCAAAGACGTGGGTCCAAAGTCTGGGAAAATAGAAAATACAGTGAAGAAACAAAGCCAAGCCCATCACACTTTTACCTTATTTTTCTTTTTTTTTTTGGTACCGGGAATAGAACTCAGGACCTTGTGCTTGCCAGGCAGGCACTTATAACACTGAGCTATGTCTGCAGCCCTATATCACATTTTTAAAGAGAAAAAAATAAAAATAATAAAACAGTTTCAGAACAGCCTAGTAGGGGAGTAACAGTAATTAATACACTGTGTATTGTTATCTTCATAGTAGTTACTTAGAATATAAGATACAGGCATGAAATCTTGTCCAAACAATATTAGCACAAACTTTTTTCAATGAACTAAGAGAAACTAGCTTTATAACTATCTTAACTATCTTGTGTGTATATATATATATATATTTTTTTTTTCCTTTTCCCTTCCTTCCTTTCCGCTTCTCCCATTACAGTTTCTCTTTTCTTTTGAACAGCTTCTTCCCAATTCACAATATCTATTGTGCATTTTGGATCTTATTTACTCATTCAGTTTCTCACACCAGTGAAATAATACGATGTTTACATATGCAGGTCTGATTTATTTCACTCATGAGTATAGTCTAGAGTTGCATCCATCTACCTATAAAAGTCTCAAGTTTATCCTTCTTTAGGGATGAGTAGTACTCCATTATATAAAAGAACCATAACTTTTTTATCCATTCCTCGATTGACAAGCATTTATTTGGGTTGTTTCCAAGATTTTTAGCTATTACAAATTGTGTTGCTATAAACACAGGTGCACATGTATCACTGTGGTATGATGTTTTCAATTCTTGTGGGAAGATACCAAGCAGAGGAATAGCTGGGTCGAATGGGATCATCACACTTTTTTAACTAGAACGATAGGAAGCCATTTAAGGGATGTCTCACAGCTCAGCAGGAGGCAGAAGGCCAAAGCCAAGGTTGTGCTGCCTCCAAAGCCCAGGAGGGGACCTAGCCTTCCATCCCAGCCGCTCATGATCCAGCAGTATTTGGCTCGTGGCCTCATCCTCCAGTCTTGGCCTCTGTGGTCACACAATTTCCTCCTCTCCTGTGTGTCTGTCTAAACCCCTCCATCTTTCTTTTATAAAGACCTTTGGAATTGGATGTCAGGCCCCTCTAGGAAATCCTGGATAACTTCCTAATATCAAGACTCCCAAGCACATCGGCCAGGACCACTTTTCCCTGTTTGCAAACATCCACACATTCTAGGAATTAGGACCTGGAATCTCTCTGAGCCTACAAAAGAAGCCTTCCACAGAGTGTTCTTAAGAAATTTCTGCCATCTGTAGTGGCACACGCCTATAACCCCAGCACTTACGAGGCTGAGGCAGGAAGATTGCCTTGAGTTTGAGGGCAGTCTGGACTATACAGTGAATTGCAGGCCAGCCTGGACTATATAGCAAGACTCTGTCTGAAAAACAAAAAGAAAGAAATTCTGATATATTTCATTTGTGATATCAATTTATCACTGATGTATTTATTTATTTTGATGGTTTTGTTTTGTTTTTGAAACAGGGTCTTACTCTGTAGTTCAGTAGGATGCTTTTCATTCCTACCTGAAAAACTGAGAAGGGGTCAGACTACTGCAGAAAGGAAACCCGCCTGACGGGGAGAGCTGGGGTGCCAAGGAGGAGCCTACGGCCAGGCTCTCCAGTGAGCTGCCACAGCGGCTGTCACCCTGCACCAGCCCATCGTCCGTCTCCGGCTACTCCACATCCCTGCTCGTGGTTGCTGGTTCCTTCAGCGGTGAGTCCTGGACCGCTGCAGCCTGCTTGCTCTGTTTACTGCCCACTTGCTCTGTTTACTGCCCCTCCCCTAGGTTCTAAGCCAATTTCCCAAGAAGGACCTTTTCTGCAGCGCATTTTTACAACACTCTGTATTCCATGAGGCACCAGCCCACAGGCGGGAATTTCCCACCCGTAGGCAGTCCAACTCCAAGACAAGAAACTTCTCAAATCCTGCTCAGCCCAGCCAGCACTCCCCCCACCTAACATCATGCTACTGGCTGGGACACTGCCCCCTGCCTGCTGGAAGGTCTTACAGGCTGACACAGAGGGCCACCTTGCAGTACTCACACAGGTTACAGGACAGGTGATGCGGGAGTCCTCAGAAAGTGGCAGAGGCATCACTTAGAAAGTTTCTCATCTCCATCTCGCTGGCATCATGGAGCCCTTTCAGTTACTTTCTGCCTACTGAAACCGCATCCACTACCAAAGGAGACTTTTTTTCCTGTGCTTCTTTGCAGTGTAGTCAAGATATGGTGCTCTCCCTACACTGCTCTCCTTTCTGAGAGGCTCCAGAGAGCCTTTCACTGCAGGGCTTACAGCTCCCAGAGCAGTACAGATCAGTCCTACATCCGCGGCTTTGATCCTTAGGATGTGTTAAGAGCTGGAACTCGGTGCCTCCCCTCTCCGGGAGGGTAATCAGTTCAACATGCCTGGCCTGGATTTTTTGCAACTGAGAAAATTGGAAGGAGGGAACTGAAGTCACTTAACCTGGGTCACGAAGAAACATCATATGTTGGAGAAATATGCTTTTTGCTGATGATGAAATAAAGTATAAATCACTTCAAACTAGAGACATTAGGTTTACAAGCCCAAATTTGTATAAGTTTTGAGTCACTGGGACAGCATTTCCTGAATGCGCTGGGAGTTCCCTTGGATCCTCTCCATGTATGGAGATGATCCCTTCCTCCACTCAGCCTTTGAGATGCAGTGAAGTTAGGAGAGAATTTCATGGCCCCTGGGACTTTTTTGTTTGTTTCTTTCTTTCTTCAGGGCCATGTCTGGATATGAGAACCGAAGTAGCCAGGAGCAACCCAAAAACTCAGGAGGATGAGAAAAGAGATCTGTGAATGACCAAGATGATTCTGAGGAATAATATCGTTAGCCTTTCTTTCCTAGTAAGATTTTTGCTTTTGAATGTTAGGTCTTCTAGCTGCTTAGTGAACTTAACTGGAGAAAATCAGAGGATATGCAGAAATAGCACAGAGTTTGGGAAGCCTACAGGAAATCTCCAGCTCCTATTCCAAGATTGCACTTGAAACATACCTTTCGGGGTTTAGTCACGCAAGTGCTGGGCCCTGCAGGCGATTGTTCACCTCAGCCCGTGGGTTTCCTCCATGGGGATTTCTTTTTTTGCCATTGAAAATGGTGTGTAAGAAAGCTCCAAAGCCGAAACAATTTCCTCACTGGGGAAATTTCACAAAGGTCTCACCAGGGGCAGAAAAGAATGAGTCTTCCAGTTTGGGGAACTGATCCTATAAGCACATAAAATAAGCAGAGTGGGAAAATTTATTTCCCAGAGCCTTGGTGGCAACAATGCCAAGTCTTCCCAGAGACTGTGTCACCAATAAGTCCCCAGAGAATGGACCTATTTTACTCCAGAAAACATGATAAAACGTAATGGAAATCCACACTATATCCAGCAAAGTGCACTACAAAGTACTATTTTTAAACTAAAGTAACTGGGTGTGGTGGCACATGCTTGTAATCCCAGCATTCAGGAGGCTGAGGCAGGAAGATCGCTGTGAATTCAAGGCCAGCCTGGGCTACAAAATGAGCGCAAGGCCAGCCTGAACTACAGAGCAAGACCCCGTCTCAAAAAACAAAACAAAAACAAAAAACCATGAGCAAACTAAAAAAAAAAATTGGTGACACATGCACACATCTACACAGCTATCCAAAAAGAATGTAGAATTAACAGCCAGGAAGTGTGTTGAAAGTAATCTTTTTTCCCTCTGGAAATTCTCTAATCTTCATTGTCCTATTTGTAAAATGGGATAACAATGCTGTTCTTATTTAAGCCATTACAAAGCTCTACTGAGAAAGTAAAGCCAGGCATGGTGGCATGTACCTGTGATCCCAGCACTTGGAGGCTGAGACAGGAGGATTGCCATGAGTTCAAGGCCAGACTGGGCTATATAGAAAGATCGTGTCTCAAAAGGCAAACAAAACAATAATGTCCATAATAAAATGAAGTACTGTCCTGGATAACTGAGGTAATTAAAACCATGGACAGGGGCTGGGGATTTAGCTCAGCGGCAAAAGCGCCTGCCTGGCAAGCGCAAGGTCGTGAGTTCGGTTCCCGGTACTGGAGAAAAACCAAAAAAAAAAAAAAAAAACCATGGACACAGGGCCAGACTGCCTAGGTTCAGACTCTAGACCAAGAATGCCTTAGGAATGGCTTGACTTCTCGGGGTCTACTTTCCCATCTGCGACACTGCGAGGATCACTGTATTCACATGGACTATATCCCATAGCTGTCATAAACAGCAGTGGGGATGACTTTCACCTGCTCAGATTGGCAGCGGATAGAACTGTTTCCCTCCTTTTTACCACTTGAAGGAGCCCCTGTCCCTTCACCCTCATCTCCAGAGTCACACACTGGCTGGCCCTCAGCAGTCCAGCGAGTCCCAGTCCATCCACCCTACGTGGAAGTCCTGTCCCCAGCATTCTGATTCCTCGTATGTGTTGGGGGGGTAGGGGAAGGTTGGGGGTCAGGGATATAGCTCGGTGGTACAGCACCTGCTTAACAAGCATGAGGTTGTGGGTTCGATTCCCAGTACAAAAAAAAAAAAAAAAAAGGTTGAGTTAGAAGTCTAAATCCTGTCCTAATTCCAAAAGATTTTGTAATTTTGTTTTCTTCTTAGGTCTTTAAATGGCCTTCAGGGTGCGACTCATCATTCCAACTCTGGGGAGCTATACAAGGGCAGGTTCCAAGCACAGCTGATGATTAAATTCTCCAGCTGCACTAGTACCTTCTCTCTGAAGGTCCACACACAGAACCCAAAGTCCTGGGTGCTACGTCATGGTCCAGAAGAGACACAGAGACCTGAATGGAAGCAAAGTGTCTTTGCTTGTGAAGGAGACCAAAAAGACGAAGGTGATATGGGGAGGTTGAGGCAGGAGGATTCGAGTTTGAGCCCAGCTTGGGCAATTTAGCTACTTAGGGAGACTTTGACTTGACAATAAAATATCAAAAAGGGGACTGGGGATGTAGCCCAGTGGGACATCTTAGGTTCAATCTTAAGTACAAAAAAAAAAAAAAAAGTGGACTAAAAAAGCAGGGCACATGTCTGCTTGTCTTTATGAAAGTAACATCCATTTCCTTTTGGAGATTTATTGCAACTCCTCTTAT